GCTCTTCCTTCCATGTGCTCTTCAGAATAAGAGGAAAAATAATTTTGTAAACTGAGTTGAATCTTGCAAATCTTCACTCTGTAAATGCAGCTGACACATTCCTCTGATATGGCTGGGGTTGTAAGGAAGGGTATTAAAGACCACCAAAATGCAGTAATAACATGAAGGTCAGTAAAAAATTACTCAAGCCTATGCCTAACCATGAGATCTTAAATGTACACAGATGATGCTGTTTGTGAGAAATAGAATAGGAAACATGGCTGGGACTGCCTCGTCATAAGTCTTTGGCACAAAAGTTTCTCTTACGGGGATGCTCATAACAGCAATAAAAGGCATTTGTGTTAGAAACCCTCCGTAGGTTGCACTGTATTAACACAAAATCACCCAGCCACCTGCCAGTTTCTGCCAGAAAAGACCCCACTACTTGCCTAATACATGGTGGATGTCAGACATTTTTTCAGTGACCACCAGACTCTTAAACTGTCTTGCCAGAGAAGTTACTACCCTATAAAAAGGCAAAGAAACAGAATGAACTCTAAATGAACTATAGAAAAACTCTCATATTTTGGAAGTTTGCAGTACTAAACTGCTTACTAGGTTAGCAATATTTTAAAAGCTAAAACAAAAGAGTATTTGCTAACTGCTAAACCTCTTATAAGTTAAATGTTCTACCCCTATCTTACAGGTTTTTCGTTCCATGTATTTCTGTGTTAAAATCCGTCATACATTCTACCCTCAAAGTTTCTGTTTTTCTGCTTTTTTCTTTTCCCAGACTGATCATAGTAATCACCTTCCCAGTGGTTAAATGACATATTTACATATGGGTCATTTAGCATAGCATTATTGCAAATATAACATATGGCCACAGGGTATCATTTTTGCCTAATCATAAGAATTGGATTTCAGTATTCATTCCCTGTCTTCCTGTGAATGTAATCTATAAAACCACCACTAAATAATTAACACAAAAAACAGTCTGTGCAATACACTGTTGTTTACTGTTCATTAAAATCCTCACCACTCAGAGTTTGTTGGGTTTTTTTATCGTTATAGCAATCAACAGTGATTGTGCACTTTTTTCTGGGTCTAAAAAGAGCACTTATTGCTGTAACATTTCACTTTGACTAAAACACTGATCTAGTCTTTTCCAGCAAATAACGTTATATTAAACTTGGAATTTTTTACTTTAAGTACCAAACCTTTTGAATAGGTTTTGGGTGGTGCTGCAGTTTTCAAGGACAACTGAAAGTGTGTAACAGATTTTGTAAAAATTGGTCAATGAAGCAGGGAAAGTGAACTAGAAAACACGAGCAGCATGTACTGAGTTCACTGGGAAATGACAGGAGTACCCCTTTCCCTATTAGTATCCATCATCGTGACACACTTGGTGTTCCAAGTCTGGTCTATGACTATGACAGTCCTTTCTCTACTTGTATCTCAGCTGCAGATCTTCTATCCACAAAAATCATTTTCATCACTTTGTCTATGTCTATATCGCAGTGGACCCTCAGACATTCTGATAAAGCAGCTGCCTGCAAACAGCATTTGTGACCATGACTGGTAAGTTGTTATTTCTCTGAACATGCTCAGGCATGCTCCCATGCTGCTTCTGATCTGCATGGCAGGCAGTTCTGCTTTTGAGGACAGCATCAACAAGCATTCAAGACATAACATCTTCCCTCTCTATTACAAACAAAACCAGACCATCTGAGAATGCTATGGCATATTTAGCATATCTGAGAACAAGTCCATTTATTCTAGCATGCAAATGTGGCTCTAGGAATGTAATTCTACAGCCTGTTTCTGAAAAAATCTATGTCCATAAAGTAAATTAACAGTTGTTTCTGTCTAAGTCCAAGCCTGTAAAACAATTCCTCTTCAGATTACACCGTAAGACAATCTTCTCCTTGAAGATACTCCAAACTCGACAAGGCCATGAGTGACCCATTCTAGCTTTGAAGCTGGCCCTGCCTGGAGAAGGGGTTTGAACCAGGCAAGCTCCAGAAGTCCCTTCCAAACCAAATTATTCAGTGGTTCTCTTAAGTCTCACAAATAGTCACTCACCCAGCACTACGAACCGCAAAACCTAGTTACGATTATTTAAATGACAAAATGGTTAATGTTTTTCTGTGAAGTTTTCAGCAAGGGTATCTAGCTAAGAAGCCTATTCTACAGTTAACAACACTTACTGTTATGAATCCAATTGCTGAAGAGTCCCCACTGCCTCAGCACAGTTTGTTTCCATGGTAAAGCAGGATATTAAACCTTACATTAGGCAGTCCTAGCAGGATTAAAGAGAGGTTGGTATATCTTGATCAACCCAACTTTAGCCTAGAAAAGAAGCAATTTATACCTAGTAAGGTGGGAAGAAGCTGTAGAAGGGGGAGTTGTTTTGTTCTCCAGTGGGACCACAGGGCTTGGTTGCCTCTGATTTCATGGGGATGTTATTCAGCAGTCCAATGGGTCCCTACCAGTCCTACATGTCTACTTTAGAAAAAAAGCCTGGCAGGATACTAAATATGTTAGGACAGGGTAATCTGAACAGGAGTTGCTATCAAATTTCAGTAACAGAAAAAAAATAATGATGTAACTTGTTCCTTTTCATATTTAAGCAGAACAATTGATTTCTCAGCCTACCCAAAGCAGCGGCACAACCTTCAGTCACCACCAGCACCACAGCAGCGTCTGTGTACTCTGCCCACAAGAAGCAGCCTGCCCACAGAGCAGACAACATCCTGCTTGTAGTACTGACCTCCAGCTCAGCAGCCTTGGGCCTCAGCGTGTGCGCCCACACTGAGGTGCATGTCTTGGAAACTCTTCTCAGAAGTTACCTTTGTGGTAATTTCCCTCAGAAAAAGGAGTGATAGGCTGGAGAGTATCACTGCTCGGTAGCCATAGTTACACGCGCAGTATAAATATTGAGAAACCAGAGGCAAAGGGAATCGATTGGTCTCTTTTGTCACTCACAGAAGTGCTCCCATCCAACGTCTGTTTGCTGCTGTTCAAAGGAACGTTCATTCACACGAGGTCCCGCCTCAGCTGATGTGACTGTCGATGTGAAGAGCCATTTGATAAAACAATTCACGTGCTACACAGACGAGTGAAATCAGGGCCTCAACAGGTGCTCTGCTGAGGTGTTTGGGTTTTGTTTGGGTTTTTTGGAGAGGTGGCAAGCGCTGGCACTGCCCTTGGGGTTATGTCAAGACAGCATTGGGTGCACTGCCCCAGTGCTCCTGACACCCTGCCCCCAAGGAGACGGTTATCCCGTGCAGACTTCGTGAGAGGCGCCAGGAGATCACCGGCGGGCTCTGGCCCCCGCTGCGCCGCACACTCTCACCTCAGCGGAGCCCCTCGCCCCCGCCCGCCCCTGCAGGGCGAGGCGACGGCCTCAAGCGCCTCGAACAACACGGTCCCACCCCCGGGCATGCGGTCGAGCCCACCAGCGGACCGACGGGGAGGGGGGCGAAGCGACCCCCACAGAGTCGGTAGTGGTACGGCCCGCCGGCGGAGCTGATTTCCCGCCTTTGGGTGCGCGCGCGCGGTGGTTCTTAGCGGGCTGTGAGGGAGCGGGGCAGCGTGAAGTGGGCTTGTCGCCCGGAACGGGAGCGCTATCATCCTGCTCCGTCTATCGGTTATGCCCACGCACTGAGGAGTAGAAGGGAGTGCTTTGAGTGTCCTGTGCACCTGAGACTGTGAGAGGGTCTTACTTCTACCCAGGGCACTTTGTGTAGGCAAACTGCAGAGGTAGG